ATCCTGGAAAATTCCAGGGAAAATGCCGGAAAATATCCTGGGAAATTCCAGGGAAAATGCCGGAAAATATCCCGGAAAATTCCAGGAAAAATCTCAGAAAAATCCCAGAAAATTCCAGAAAATCCTGGGAAATCCCGGGAAAATACCGGAAAAATACCGGGGAATCCCAGAAAATTCCTGGGAAATACCAGAAAACTCCAGAGAATCCCGGAAAAATCCCAGAAAATCCCAGGAAATTATGGGAAAATCCTGGGAAATCCTGGAAAATACCAGGAAATCCCAGAGAATCCCGGAAAATCCCAGGAAATCTCAGAAAATCCCAGAAAATCCTGGAAAATCCCAGAAAATCTCAGAGAATCCTGGAAAATCCCAGGAAATCCCGGAAAATCCTGGGAAATCCTGGAAAAATCCCAGAAAATCTCAGAAAATCCCAGGAAATCCCAGAAATTCCCAGAAAAATCCCAGAAAATCCCCGAAAAATCAGGAAAAATCCCAGAAAATCCCGGGAAATTCCAGAAAAATTCCAGATAATTCCAGAGAATCCCAGAAAATCCCAGAAAATCCCAGAAAATTCCAGAAAAATTCCAAAAAAATCACAGAAAATAAAAGAAAAAATCCAAAAAATCCCAGAGAATCCCAGAAAATCCTGGAAAAATCCTGGGAAATCCCGGAAAAATCCCAGAAAATCCCTGGAAATTACAGAAAATCTGAGAAAATTTCAGAAAATCCCAGAAAAATCCCAGAAAATTCCAGAAAAATCCCAGAAAATTCCAAGAAAATTCCAGAAAAATCCCAGAAAAATCCCAGAAAATCCCAGAAAATCCCGGAATTCCCAGAGCCGTGGCCTCGCTGAACACTCCGTACCGCCCGGCCGATCCCAACACGGATATCATGGAAAAGTTGGAATCTCATCCCGCCTTCGATTACCAGTTCTACTTCCAGGAGCCGGTGAGAATTCCTGGATTCGATCCCGGGGTTTTTTTCAGGATCCGGTGCCGGGGTTGGGCTGATCCCGGTTTTTTTCCGGGATTTTTCCGTAGGGAGTGGCGGAAGCGGAGCTGGAAAAGGACGTGGGAAGGACCCTGAAGATCCTGATCCGCTCCTCGAGCCGGGAGGTGACGCCGGGATCGGGATCGGGATCGGGATCGGGATTGGGATTGGGATTGGGATCGGGATTGGGATCGGGATCGGGATTGGGATCGGGATTGGGATCGGGATTGGGATTGGGATCGGGATTGGGATTGGGATTCAGGATTGGGATTGGGATCGGGATCGGGATTGGGATTGGGATTGGGATCGGGATCAGGATTGGGATCGGGATCGGGATTGGGATTGGGATTGGGATTGGGATCGGGATCAGGATTGGGATCGGGATTGGGATCGGGATTCAGGATTGAGGTTGGGATAGGGATTGGGATTGGGATTGGGATTGGGATTCAGGATCGGGATCGGGATTGGGATTGGGATCGGGATCAGGATCGGGATGGAAATCAGGATTGGAATTGGGATCGGGATTCAGGATTGGGATCGGGATTGGGATTGGAATCGAGATCAGGATTCAGGATCCGGATCGGGATCCAAAAATTCCAGAGGGATCCCTGAGTTTTGGAGCCTCCAGGATTCCCGGTTTTTTGGGGTTTTTTTTTTCCCCCTGGGAATTCCTGGAGTTGATCTCCGGAATCTCTCGGGATCCCCCTGGAATTCCCGGGAATTCCGGGTGGATCCCGAGGTTCGCTCCCTGCTGCTCCCCCAGGATCGCCTGCCCGGAGGCCTCGACATGAGCAGGGTCCGCGAGAGAGGTCGGGAATCCTGCGGGATTTGGGGGGATCCCGGGAATGGGGGGGGATCCCCTGGGATCCGGGGGGATCTGGGAATGGGGGGGGGGAATCCTGAGGGATTTGGGGGG